GTGGGCGGTGTTTACGGAGAAGTGGTCCTGATTCCGCTAAATGTATGGTTTAAAGGGTGGCGTGGCCACCTGGACTCCAGGAGATCGCTCTCTTGAGTGATGCTGTAAGGAGCAGCCCGCTGCTCGCACTGGTAAACACCGACTCAATCCTGTCCAAGAATTTGTGCTGAGACAATTTACGCAGACACTGTTGTCTCTTGGAACACCATACTGATCTGCATTGACCCGCACTTATTTTGACCACATCAATAAATATTGAATGCGTCAAAAGACGGGTTTCAATCATTCCCTTCGACTTGTCTGTCACCTGAACGTCCATAACCATGGCGTTTATAGTTACTCTAATTAACGGTTGTTGATATTCTTTAACAGTGAGCAAAACCAGTGGCCTCACCTCCAACCTGACTAATTTACAGGTCAAACACAGGCTGTGATGAAAGAAAAATACAATAATAAGAAGGGTGTAGTGTCTCCTCAAGTCAATGATCCTCCAAAGTCCAATTAAAGATTCATACGTATTCCAGCTAGCATATCGAAATTCGTTTTAATGACTCTCTTGGTTCTGAGTAAGAGTTGTTCATTTCATCTGCCGTGCACCAAAGACATCTAAGAAGGATTGTATTTAGTCATCAAACAGAGATTTGTGTCTCTGCGCCAATGTATTCTGTGAACCCAGCCCAGCCCTCACCACGCCCCAGCGCTTACTCCAGCTCCAGGACTTCATATCCCTTTGGCTTGACTGCTAACGCAAATTGCCTGCAGCCTGTCCCTTAGTCGCGCCAACCTCACACACCCACGGTTGTCTCGCCACCTCCAGGCTAGAATACTTGTACAAATGATATTCTTTTAACACGGTGATATTAATCTGATTTGTATTTAACAGCAGGGCCGGATTCAGGAGTGGGCAAAGTGGCCAGCTGCCCAGGGACCTCCACAATCTGGGGGCCTCCACATGTGCGGTAGTAGCTATAATAGGGCTGGTCGACTTGAAACCACATGAATGACTCCAGTCATGTCTCACTTTTGTGTATGTGTGTGTGTGTTGGGAATTTGTACACTATCAATAAATATACAGCTAATTAAAAATTTCTCAATGTTCTAATTTCCTCAATATAACTGCATATGGCTTCAAAATTCTCCAAAGAAGTGTTCAAATTTCAAAATTTTCCCGGGGGGCTTACAGCGCCCCCCCCCCCGGAACTCCCAGATGTTTAGGCTCGCTTTACTCGCCACCCCACCCTCTTGGGTAGTTATACTGAGGGGGGCCTCCACAAAGAGGCTGCCCATGGGCCTCCACAGGTATAAATCCGGCACTACTTAACAGTATTCTTGTATTCTTTTAATAGTTCTCTTTCAAGACAATAAATAAGACGTTCTCATTGATGTATATTTCTGTAAAGTTCGCAATGTATCGGGGGCGACTTGTTACGGATTCCATCTTCATAACTAAATTACTTTAGATTTAAAGTTACATTTCAAAGACAAAATAATTAATTACTTTATCTATTTCTGTCAGGTATAATCTACTCTTTAATTTTCCATAATTTTATATACCCATTTATTTTCCAACAAGAAGTCCCTTTGTAACCACTAATACAGTAAGGGAACAGTAAATTAATCAATGTATAGCTGTGATACATGCACACGCTAATGAACTGGTTTTCTTACACAGAGCTTGGGAGATTTATTTGTTCATCAATTAAATTAAAGTTGTATAAAACACTTGCTAAGAGCGATGGAAAAAGGGAACTGTTAACTTATGCCACATGTACACATATAAAGGCTTTCGATACTGAACGAAATTTGCGAGTGGAAAGTGGATATGTAAGAATACACACACACACACACACACACTCTTAAGTTGGCCCATACCAACCCCCTCCCCTGAACCCTCCTCCCCACCGGAATATCAACAAGTTCTCGCCAGAAGTTACAATATCATTTAGGAAAGGAACGGAACCAGTGTTAAACAGAGGTGAACAGTGGTGAACAGTGCTTAAGTCAGTGAGAACAACTCAACAGTAACAGTCGTGCCCAAGCTAACCTTCACAAAGTGAGGTCCCAGGTACCCAGTGATAACGGCCCGTGAGACCCAACAACAACCAGCGATGTGTTAATCAGTCTACGATAGGAAGGCCTAAGACCAAACCTCACTCATATAACACCATCTGTGAGGGAATTACTACACTACGTGATGCCCCTCATAACACCATCTGTGAGGGAGTTACTACACCACGTGAGGCCCCTCATAACACCATCTGTGAGGTAATTACTACACCACGTGAGGTCCCTCATAACACCATCTGTGAGGTAATTACTACACTACGTGAGGTCCCTCATAACACCATCTGTGAGGGAATTACTACACCACGTGAGGCCCCTCATAACACCATCTGTGAGGGAATTACTACACCACGTGAGGCCCCTCATAACACCATCTGCTAGGGAATTACTACACCACGCCAGGTCCCTCATAACACCATCTGAGGGAACTACTACACCACGTGAGTTCCTCCTAACACCATCTGGGAGGGAGTTACTACACTACGAGTTTGCGGTTCAACACCTACATTAATCTGTATGTTCACTGTATGTTCCTTTACCTTTCTCTAATGAAGGCTTTTGTTAAACCACCAATGTATGTAATAAGTCATTTATGTCCAATGTATATTTTCAGCCTTCGGGCTGCAGAATTTTTTCAATAAACCGTTAATTATTATTATTATTATTACACACACACACATATATATATATATATATATATATATATATATATATATATATATATATATATATATATATATATATATATATATATATATATATATATATATATAATATTCAGAAATTCAGTGTAATTTCAAACGCTGCGCCATGGGCGAAACTGAGTTTACAAGGTCGACTGAGGAAGAGAGCGCTCCTGTCCGTAGTGAGAGCTTTTGGAACTAGGCCTAGACGATATTGAATGTAGTTTGCCGAATTAATAATGATGCGATTCAAGAAGTTAAAGGACTATTATTAAAGTTGAAATTATTATAGATCGTTTATCAGTCTGAATAATGTTACGGGTGTCCAAGAAAGTTATTAGTTAGGCGGAAAATATGTCACGTAGGCCTAAGCTAACGCCTTGGGGAGACGCGAGGCTGGTTGGTCG